GTTTATCACATTTCGTTCTACTATACCCTACTGTTGGAAATAAGTCCCACACTGAAAAAAAAAGTTCGGTGAATCCGAACTAGTTAGGATCATATGGAACCTGTTTTTGTTCGGTACACACAACCGAATTATTCGGTCTGTTCAACCGAATCGTTCGGTTTGTGCGACCGAACCATAATAAATTCTTCCAGTTTGGTTCAGTGGACCGAACAGTTCGGCTGAGCAGACCGAATAATTCGGTCGTGTGTACCGAACAAAATTGTGGTTCCATATGATCCTAACTAGTTCGGATTTACCGAACTTTTCTTTTTCAGTGCGTAAATTTTCCCATTTAAACAATGTAAATGTTCATTTTTTTTTTTATCAAAGTTTGTTCTAAAAATCTAACGAGCCGATGTTTATTAATCCTAAAACTCCCGATAGAAGATATAGTCCCTAGATCGGACCGCTCTATTCAGATTATGACCTAACGGGGGTCCGCAAAGCGACCAAGGGGTGAATCTTAAATTGAAACTTTTCTGTTTTTCATTTATGAAGTGAGCACCGAATCTACCGTGCTAAGCATCAAAACGCCGTGAATCCAACAAGATTTTCCCGCGTTTTTTGGAACTTAACACTTTATAAAATAAAAACTGTTTAACCCGTGCACCTCGAATTTTCAGGTTAAGTTCTTGACAGTATTCGCGAAAGAGTTCTGTAAAAACATTGTCCCAAGGTACAGAAGTTTTCCTGCTATGATACATTGTTTCCAAAAAAATTAAAATGGCGTTTACGGCGTTTTTGCGTTGCACGACAGCGTTGACACAGATAAAATTAAATGATGAATCGGTTTGTGACAATTCGAAATTGAATTAGGGCATTATCGTATTAATCTATTCCCATTTTGCGATCCAACCAACAGGGACGAGAAAGTGGACGAACTGAGCACCATTGCGTTGGTTGTGGGCACAGGAAAACGTTGTCACTTTCAGTGCAAGAATTTGCTGGTTCCACCAACTTTGATAAGGGGTGCATTTTGCGGTGCTAAGGAAAAACGCCGTATGAGCCTTCAGGCGTTGCCAAATTTCCTTTGATAAAATACGAATTTCCCAGTAAACTTACGAATATTTTCCTTCCAATTTTTTAGACATTTTTTTTCGCAATTCCATCTAGAGTTTCTGAAAATTTCAAGGAAAAATATCCATAGCTTTCCTCAAAAATAAACATTTTATCGAAGAAAATTTGGCAACTCTCGAATGTTCATACGGCGTTCTTCCTTAGCACGGCAGCATTCGACTCATTATCTGCAAGCGGCAACAATGCCCTGGGGTTTTCGTCGGCTTATCCCCGCGGAAGTGGGACTGTTGCCACTGTTGCCGATTCGCAGATAATTCCTTCAAACTGAACGCCGGGAATTTTCAAAAATGAAACCAGTTGGCGAAAATGTGCACCGCTGTTTGTAAACGCGCGGACTTTAATTGATTTTGTTGTGGACGCTGGCGATGTGGATTCGCCCGCGCACTCGCGGGTCTTTGGGCATGAGGGACGAAATTGGAGGATTTTTGGGGGAGATTTGGCGATGTTGCCTAATACTGACCTTATTGCAATAAGCTTTTGAATCAACCCGACGACGAGTGGACTCCAGCTACTGGGGCACTAATACCCTCTAAAACTCTCGTTCCGCGGTGCATTTTATATTGCAAGTCTGAATCTTATACACTCTCGCCGGATCTCTCTCCGAACGGGGAAAATATTAATACAAGTCGACCCGCTCCTATGATTATGTACCATCAAGGGAAATTTTCAATGAGAAACAATCAGACATTTTCAATCAATCAGAGAACGGGAATTGCAGGAAAAGTTCAGTCTAGAAATGGAGAATTTGCATGCAGATTTTGTATTGCTTCATCTGAAAATGCTTAAAGAGCTGATTTCTCAGTATATTTTATAATTTTTTTCTGACACGGGAAAATTGGAGGAAAATAGGTTTAAAAGTGAGAAAATACAACACGTAATGACGTCGTTTAGCGGTATTTCTCATTTAAACACATGTAATTTAGTAGATTTGATCATTATGTCATATCCTCTCCGATAATTGTTCAATTCATGAGCAAAGGGTATCATCGTGTTCAGTCCACTCAGTGGTTTTCACTTAAGCACGAAATCCATCAAATTTCAGACACCTGCAAATTCTCTATTCAATCGAAACATGAACAAAAAATCGCACAGATTTACTTGATAATATAAAACTTTAGGTTAAAAAAAATTAATAAAATATTCAATTAAAATGAGAACGAAATTCGAATAAGGTTTTTTATTTTTTTGGGTAGCCAGTTCTATGGATTAAAATGAAGTTGTCGACTGACATTAAAACAAAAATGAGGTATTTATTTAGTTGAATACTTCATTTTCATTTTGATGTCAGTTAACAACTTCACTTTATCAAAACTTTCAAAAATTAAAATAATAATAAAATGAAAATGCTACACTTTAATTGCATAATACTATATGCAAAAGTTTCCGACAGTTTATTTGTTCCTGCAGATGCTTTCAGAAATTCTTCTCCATCAATCCCCGAAGAGGACGGGGATAAGAAACACATTTCAAACGTGCATCCACAAAATTTAATACGCTCCTTCCAAATTGTCCATTCCTTGTCGATGGAACGACCGCAGTGGCGTGTCTATCTCTGCGATAATTGATCTGCCATTACACTTAAACCTATGGAAAAGGATAGATTAGAGGGGCGTTCGCAACGAACGCCTCGATAATCGATTCCTAACCATAGATTCAAGTGGGCAAGTATCGATATCTGATTATTCACGTGACAGCTACCGGAAGCGGAAGATCAATAATTGATTTCTTGGATGGGCGACCGATAGCACTCCGGTAAAATGCTTTGAACTTGGTCACTTAACGATAGACACCGGAGACATCGGCTTAGCGCTTAATCCGATCATCGGATGAGGGAGAAAGTGGTGGTTACAAGGCTTGTCCTGCGTCCTGCTGCATGCCTTATCCACCCACTCTCGCTATGTTATCACACCGCGGGACCGCGGGTTGGGCCTTGCCTTCACGGGACGTTTCAGCGCAATTAGTTGCTGCAACGACTTAAGCCGACAAACTTCAGGATGGAACCGAATCCTGGACGCAAATGTCGTTGGCTGCGGTGGGTTGCGAGGTAGGCCAACAGAACTTCAAAACTTAGTAAGGAATGGACCATAAGACGTTGGAGTACCACGTCTGGAGTCCACGACATTTCATCATTTTAACAAAGTAACGTGGAAGGAGCTTGAAGTGCAACTCATCAGCGAGACAATAACTCCCACGCATTCTTCGGGGAACGTAGACAAGGCTAGAGTTTTGTGCATGGGGGTAATGCAAACATTTTATGCATCTTAGTAAAAGTAAAAAAAAACAAGCAGAAAAATCCAACATGAATATGTTGGAAAAGCGTGCCGAATAACTAAAATGTTGGACACATACCTACTATTTTCACGTCTTTGTTATTTGCATCAATTGGTACTTTTTGCTAAATTTGGGAGAAAATATTGATTCATGAACGTTGAATGTAAATTCATTTTAAAGATTCCGTCCAATTATCTTGATTTTAAGCTGATATGCGGCATTTCGCACGACCGTGATTTGGGCGAACTGCCGTGCATCGAAATCGCGTTCAGTTAATCTCTTTGGATTTCGAACTGTAACTTCTCTCCTATTCGGCCGATTTTTACAAATGAGGTCTCTTTTTATTTGTACTTTAACGGAAAGTAAGGAAAAACTCGCTAAATAGACGGAAAACAATTTCTGTGAAAATTTGGTGGATCCTGGCGTCACGGTGAATGGTTAATCGGGCGTGGAAGATAATAGGTTCGACGAGGCGACCCTCTTCTCGCCGTCTTTTATTGCCTTGCTCGAAACCTGACACCCAAAGCTATATCGGGAGATAACTGCAGTGGTTTGAGTGGATTTCTGCAGGGGCCACGGTTAGTACATGGTATAAAGAGTCACGAGGCTCATCACAGATTGCACTTGCAGTGCAAGACGCTCATTGGCTAAACAGTTTTGGCGGGAAAGAAGGTTCTAGAGTTGAGTCCTCCGAGCGTAAGAAAGCTTCTATGAGGTTTTTGTCAAATGAAATAATACGGTTTTGACAGGAAAATGTTCTCAAGGGTTCCCAATTAGCAGTTTTTCAGTTTTTGGTAAGAGACCATCAGGGCTTGACAGTATAATGGTTCAAAGACAAGAAAACGGGTCCGAGGAAAAAAATATTTGGACGGCCCGTTAAATAGCATTGGTTGATCGGTGTGCTGTACTATGGTACATCCGAGTGATTTCAAAAAGCGAGCCCTACTGGCACGCTTAAAATTAAAAAAAAAAAACACCACGAGGTACATGAATTCAATATTGTAATCTTACAATGTTGAATCATGTTTCTGAAGCACACAAGTTTCTTAGAATCAAAACTTGACGGCAGTTTAGCGCTGTATTTCAATGGGTGATTAACTATTATGTACAGAGAAAACTATCAGGATATAATGTTTCGTCAGAAAATCACCTTGTAGGAGGGATCAGGAATTTCATTTTTACTTTTCTCTCTCGCTCTCTCTTTCAGCGTTTGCTTTTTCAGAGTGACACGATTTCTTGCCTTTCGAAATTCCCCAACTTTTCGGCGATTTTGAACATACAATTTCCTGACTCTAGGTATAATTTCAAATAAAATGTCTTTTCTTCACAAATCTCAATCGAAATCTCGTTTGAAATCGTCTCCTTGAAATTGAAAGATGAAAATTTTAGGCAGAGTCATTAAATTGTAAGGTTCCACAGCAAAAAAATTTCTGATTTTTCAGGGTCGAGCGAAATTTCCCAACTTTTTTAGAACCCGCCGCGGCACCCTCCTCTTGCTCGGTGCATTCCCTTACACACGGAGGAAGTCAGGTCAACAACTCGTCTTCCATACTCTTAACAGACGGCGTTATACGGGAAGGAAATAAAAGAAAAGGAGGATAAACTGCACTTACCATTCTGAGAGGAAATGATTGCAGCGGGTGTCCATTAGCGATCGCTACAGCCGCCTGCAACAGTCCGGAAATGAAGGAGTCATCAGTAAAATAACCGTGAAAAGAGTCATAAAGGCCGGAAGGGCCCTTGCCGAAGACATTATAATACTACTGAGTTGGCAGGCCCAATTTAAGGGCAGTTACGAACGGAAACGGAAGTATCTTTTCGGAGAATCGTCTCACAGTGGGTCGAGTTCAGCAGAGAGGCCGGACATCAAATTTTTCTAAAACTGCTTTTGATGTTTAGTTCGTCACGTTTTTAATTTTAAAGGGATCTTCCAGAAGGAAATTTTACGAGGAAACCGATAGAACCACTTTTAAAATCTCCAAGTTTTGATTTAACGGAGTTGCAAGCTTTTAAAGTTTCCAAATTTTGTCCGACCTCTCCTATTGACTCGATCCACTGTGCGACTCCGGGCGAGGGGGTCGTGTGATGGCGCGGTCGTGGATGTACGGCGGCTCGTACGAATTTGCAAATAGGACGTTAGACGAGCCATAAAAGCGAATTTAGAGTTAGCGGCGCTTTTAAGTGCAGTTATCAGCAGGATTACGAGGGAAGTTATGAAAGAGCGAAAAATTAGTTTTTCGGACCCGTCACGTGTCCGGAATACTTAGGGGCTATTTGGAGGCTCCTACTCACGGTGTTGCCGAGAGAAACGCGTGTCTCGTCGTTTCTCCAGCTTCCAGTCAGCTATACAGAAACATATGAGAAAAAGATCCGGGAACATTCTTAAGAAGCTTCAGGGAAATGTTTAGAATAGAAGGGATAGTTTTTTCTTCGCCGTCTGAAAATATGTTCAAAACATGATGGTATTGTAATTAAGGCCATTCTTTTCTTTGTCCCGCACAAAAGAACGTAACTCAATTCCACGGTTGCAAAATTGATTCAAACAATTAAATTTTTTACGAAAATAAACAGGATGTCTACTAATACAGGCTGGCCAAAAATCAGTATACTTTTACAGTACTTTATTTCTAGTCCATTCCCAAGAAATTCAGTACCTCTTCATAGGCGAAATTCAGTACTTTTTCAGTACCTCCAATTGACGAAATTTGAAAATTTTCAAAAATTTGAATTTCTCGCTCGAATTGCGACAAAAATGACAAAAATTCCGGACCTTCTCGCGAAATTCCGCACTTTTCGGTGCTTCCGAGCCACCCTTAAAAAATCAGTACTATATCCGGACTTGTAGACACTCTGATAAACCTGCATTATTTTCATCGATAATTTTTCTAATTTTTTCATGTGATCAAAAGAAAAATTAATACAATTTTCAGTCGAAAATTCTTATAATTCTCTTGGCGAAATTGCAATTCGCGCGGCAAAATCAAAATTTAGTTACGCTCTTTCGTAAGGAAACCGACGAGTCGGGTTGCGAGCCCGAAAGCCACCTCACGTCCGCGCGCGCAGCGAGTCACTCGCAGCCTCCAGCTCGTCATAAATTGGATCGATCTGCGGCGGAATAAAAAATTCCGGAAAAATTCCCGGAAACGGCAATTGCCGAAACGAGCCGCGTTTTATTTATTGTTAATTGTCGGCCATAAAAGATAATGCGGGTTATAATGACACGGGAGGGCGGGCTGGCGCGGAGCCAGAGCGGATGCAAAAAGCACGGCGGCCGCCTTGCCGAATCATCCCCTCGCTCCGGGTCGACGGGGTGGTTTTTCCGCGCGGTTCGGCGGCGCCCTCGTCACTTAACTCGTCGCGGTTTCCCCCCCGCGTGTCCTAATTACTTTTCAAATCAAGTCAAAATGTTCGAGCGCGAACGAGCCCGAAAATGATACGACCGTGCTGCCCGATCGCATGGACCTGCTTCCGTCATACGTCTCCCTGACGCAGATGAAAAAGAGACAGGAAAAGTTATATCACTTATTTTCTTGACATTATCGGTCATATTTATCAAGATGTTATGAAACCTTTTTCTTACCGATTTCAGGGTGTCTACTAAAACAGGTTGGCCAAAAATCTGTACTTTTACAGAAGTTTTTCAGTACATTCCCAAGAAATTCGGTACTTCCTCAAAAGAAAAATTCAGTACTTTTTCAGTACCTGAAATTGACGAAAGTCGAAAAATTTCAAAAGTTTGAATTTCTCGCTCAAATTGCGACAAAAATGACAAAAATCCGGTCCTTCTTGCGGAATTTGTGCACTTTTTCAGTACTTCCGGGCCGCCCCTAAAAAGTCAGTACTATTTCCGGACTTGTAGACACCCTGGATTTTTACCGTAGTGGAATAGTAACAGCATTAAAAGTTGGCAAAATCAGTGAGAAAAAGGTTTCCTACATCTTAAGAAATGTTATGTTCGTATTTTGAGAGAGGACGCAGAAAATTCCCGAAAGCGCGCGAAACGGACGCGTGGACATGTAGAACGGCTCTAAAACCTTTTAACGATTACGTCGATGAGAGACGTCAGTTTTCCTAATATGTTCGATGTAAATTCTCAATAGATTTCCTCTTTGATATAATGATATTTCCATTTAGCAAAGTAATATTAGGTGACCGCAGTACTCTCGGAAACTGGATGAATTCCACAAGAATGCTCAAGGTCTTGATCTCTTGGTCTCAGTTGACGCAGCATGGATTGACTCCAGCAAAATCGGCATGATTCAGCACAGGATGTAACGTTACAGAAGATGCTTCTCGGTCAAATTCCCTGATTCATCTATTTAGATAATTTGCAATTCAAGAGCTTGCAGTATGGAGAGGAATAAGAGAGACTTCTTAAGTATTACCTATCAGGCCCGCCACAAGGGGGGGGATACTGGGTCCTTGGTACCGGGGCCCGGGCCCTGGAGGGGCCCGTGACGCAGGTGACAAACCACTACGAATTCATGTGTAACCCTTGTCTCGTAGGTAATAAATTACCCTAAAAATTCCGCAAAAGGTGAATAAAGTTTCAAAAACACGCTAGGGCACCATGAATTTTTCTTACTTTTTTAGAGATTTCTATCTATTTTCAAGATTTTGAGTATATGTAGAATCATATTTTTAGTAACTGCGTTTCAAATTTCTTCCGTTGTCGGATGCTAAGAGGCTCCTGTCTGGACATCCTCGACTTCAATGGCTCAACTCCCTTGCCATAGACGTACGGAAGGGGAGTCCAGGGGGGCCCGGCTCCCCCTAGAATTGAAAAGTATCATCTGCCCCCCTCAAAAAAAATTTATAGATGTTTAACAAGTCGAAAGTATTTGGTGCTGAAAGTAAAAAAAGGCGTAATTACTCTGCAGAAATTGATGGAAAATTTCCATCAAAAGAGCTTCAAAATGCGTCCAAATAGATTTAAAATCTCAAAAATTTCCCGGGGGAGGCCCCCCGAACTCCCCTATGTGCTAGGGGCCCGGGCCAGAAAACTGGTACCAGGGCCCGAGATGGGATGTGGCGGGCCTGTTACCTATTACATTTTTTTACTTTTAATTCGGCTACAACCTTTTGGAAAAAGAAAAAGGAGCTTCGCTCTCATCACATAACAGCATAGAATCGTCATCGTCTACTGCATTACTTGCTTCGTGCCAATCAGTGTTCCGCCTTCATATCGTCGCTTTTTTGACGTACGGGCGTACCTCTATTTCCGCATAAGCCCCAGAAAGTATGGGTTTATATGTAAAACAGAGCTCACGGGAAATTTGAGATACGCCTTTACGCCAGAAGGGCAACGATATGTGTACATAGATCCGCTTGTGGGGACGATTTCACGAGCAACGCAAACACAGCAAAGTATGAAATGCATTACATTTTGCAATAAGGAACCACTATTTCTGGTTTATTTTAGAAACAACATTGCATGCCATTGGTTCCTCTATTCAGGTATGTGCTTTTATGAGAGAACTAGCAGGGTGTCTACTAAAGCAGGCTGGTCGAAAATCAGTTCTTTCACAGTACTTTTTCAGTATATTCTCAAGAAATTCAGGACCTTCTCCACAGGCAAATATGGCAAATTCAGTACTTTTTTAGTGCTTCCATTGGACGAAATTCGAAAAATTTCAAAAATTTGTATTTCTCGCTCAAATTACGACAAAAAGTGCAAAAAAATGAAAACAAATCCGGATCTCCTTGCGGAATCCTGCACTTTCTCAGTACTTCCAGACTGCCCTTAAAAAATCAGTACTATTTCCGGACTTTTAGACACCATGACCAGGGATAATAGTTCCTTACTGCAAAATGTAATCCAAATATTCCTGACTATTCATTCGCCGCGGTTTGCCTGAGGAGAGCTTGCTGCTGTTGTTTTACTTCATAATCAAAATTGATCACTAAAATTTTCTGTAAAAGCGAAACGAAGCGAGCCAAAAACAAAAAAACAAAACCCACAGGTCAAAAGTTAAACTTCAGGATTTTCACACGCTTACGCAGGTATTACGCGCACAATGCGAGAGAGGGTCTTGAAAGCTCTCGTTTCGCGATTTCGACTCGTAATAAGCCGTCTAATCCTACTTTTTCGGTCGAGTGGCCTAAAAGTGAGCGGCTAATCCACCTCCAGGTGGGCTGACGCGGCCCGTAAATCAATACCCGCGAATCGCTGCGTTTAATTTGACTGCCCGGATAAACAGGATAAATAAACCCCCAACAGGATTATGCTGGTAATTTATAGAGCTTGGATTTTAAACGCTGCGCACCGACCCCGCACCGCCCGCCTGCAGTCCGCGGGAAACGCTCGGGCCAAGGGGGTAGAAAATTGCGCGTACTTGCCGATTCTTTCCCTAGTGAAAGTGCGTGGTCACTCAGGGGTCCATGGGTGCAAATTTTTCTCGAGCGCGTGAATTCATCGCAACCAAATTGTGGAGGTTTTCTATTCTTTTTCTTTCTTTTCTTTTGCCAGTTTTCAGATTTTTAACTATCGTACAATGATGCGACTTCGGCAAACATCCTAAAATTATACTGAAGTAATTAATTATCCAAATAATAATATAGTTATCCAAAAATTGAACACAATTTTGGTTAGCGCGCTGTGTTTGCCGTTCTGCGAAAATCCAACGCTTTATGGAAAATCGCGGAGGCCTAGAAGAATTTGTACCCC